CATCCAAATGTCCTCAAAGAACTGAGCAACCTCATAGCAATAGAATAATGACAAGTCCATGAAGTTACATCTGTGGGAAATAAGATGAAGAGTGAAGAATAAATCTTTCTGCACAAGATCATGTAAGCAATTTTGAACACTGTCAAGGCTGGAAAGTGAGGATTTGTTAGCAAACGCCTTCTATTTTCTCAGGTTTTCTTATCCTTGGCTATATTGTGTTATAAACATGTGCATGCAAGCATGGAAGAACAAACAGAACAACAATACAGCAGCAGAATGTCTCTAAATGTAAGTGGGGGTGAATTTGAAAGAAGGGTAGAGTTGGTAAGGCTTGGATTTGATGCATTTTCCAGGTGAACTGACCAAGATCATAGTGGTGACATTAAGAGAGGCCTAAAGTAGATTAGTGAAACTGTGAATCTGAGTTTACTGATACAAAGGATGCAAGCAGAATGCCTATATGGGCATTGTGTGAATTTTTGGATGAGAGTGGATCTCAAGTGGATATGTGTGTCAGATCAGTTGACCGAAATCACAGTGGTAACATTGAGAGCCTGCTAGACACCAACATCTGGCCCATTGGCTGTATTCTGTCCCCGTTGCTTATGCACAGCTTTCTTAAAAGCAAGTCTGGTGGATCCTAAGCTCATCTTTATTTGGCAGCAATGTTCATAATTGGCTTCTTTTATGTTGTATTTTAGATTTTTGAAAGGATTTGTTTTGTGGGCTGGATGTGATGCATGAAGTCTCTGTGCAGAGGACATTTTTATTTATTGGTCTTTTACTTTCTAATATGTAGAGTGAATCAGAAAGATATCTTGCGACGATCATCATCATCATGCACATACATACATACTTACACAAATTCAAATTATACAACCACAAGCATTCATTAGATAATAAATCAACACTACTGGGTAATGGACAATTTATAAATCGCAGCTATGCAACAATTTTATAATCACTATATTTTCATGTAGTTGATTTTGTGCACTTTTGGGAGAATCGTATCCCAGAAGTTTTTCATGAGTTTCCCCAAATCTCGTTCGCTGAGTGGTCAAAGCCAACCAATCAGATTATCTGCGCGTGAAGAGTGATTCTTCCCGCACAGTGCTTTTGGAGCCAATGATAACCTATATAAGTAAAGAATATTCTTAGTTAATGAGTGAGATTTCAGCTGCCACAGGAATCCATGACAGTTGAAACCATGCGCCAATCTTCTCACTCACACCACCACACACATGCTGAATATTCCCTATACTCACATAATATTTTTTTCTTACACAGTAAAACTGTTGAAAACATTTATTACCAGAAACTATTACAAACAACCTTATTTCTTTCAGTGAACTTTAGAACAATTGATAGTTAAAGAGAAACAACTCTTGTTTTACTCAGTGCATGCTTTTCTTGTTTGTATCTTGTTAAATACAAATTTTATGTGTAATGATGTCTTATCCTCTTTTTCTTCATGTCAGTTTGGTTTCCTAATCTAAGTTAAATTAATGTAGTGAAGTCCACCGCAATCTAATTTTCAACAGAGTATAACAATTGGATTGGAACAACCAATATTATAGCATAAGAAACAGCCACAAAATAAACTGCACATATCAAGAGACAAAATATAATTGAATCTTTTTCAGAACTCAAACCTTGTAAGTCTAGTATGAAGAAGAGGACACATGTTGAAAATTACTATCAAAAAAGAAAAAGTTTATATAATCCTCTTAAGTGGCTAGCTTTTCAAACAATACTTATTGAAGTGGTTCATTGATAAAATTAAAAGATCAAAAATTAAAACATAATTATCATTAAAACCAGGTAAACCATTCTAAAAATAATCCTGATCTATCATCTGAAATTTCAAAAAAAAAAAAGTAGGTTAACTTAAATAATACCAGGTATTCTTAGCAAATGGATAAACTTTTTTGCTTACAATGAGACAGTTGTTATCTAGAAATAAAAAGATTCACAAATCTTCAGATAAAAAGTGCAACATTTAGAATTTTAAACAGCCATTTGAAAAAATCATCAACTCAAATAGAATTATCAATGAGATGTTGGTCACTCGCTGAATTCAAAATTTTCTATGCATATGTCAATATTGTAGTCTGATGTGATTGGCCATTCTTAATCCAAATTGGAATATGCTGTTTCATTCTACACTCCAATCTCTGCAAGGTGGATTCAATGTAACCAGATATACACAAACATGTAAAAGAATAAAGGAGAGACATTTTAAGGGAGAAAGGAACACTATCCTTGCTCATGGAAGAAAAACTCAAGAGACTAAATATAATCATGTCTTTTTTTTTAGGATCTTTTATATTCTGTGCTAATAGGAAAATATACTTGACAAACACAGTGGATAAAATAAGTAAAGGTTTATTGTAAAAACCAATACAATAAGAATAAAGGTAACAGTTATGCACAAGGTCATCACAAGTCAATCCAGTAGCGAGTGCTACTATTGGAAGGTCGGTAGTTCTCGAGTAAGTCTGAGTCATACTCAACAGATCCCAGCTAGTGTATTTACTAACCTCCCCATGCGATCAGATGTGGCACAAGGCTGGGTTTAATGTGGGGCATCCAAGCCTGCAGGCTCAGCCAAAAATTCCCATAGACCCCATATAAAATGAGGCTGGGCAGCTGCCCTCCAAGACAAGACTCTGCCCCCTCCCCGGCACATCCCCGTCTGGGGATCCTTCCCAACTTGAGGCAGAGCTGAAAAAGATTTCAGCTAGAATATTTGCGAACCACCACACGCGGCACATGGCACAAGGCTGAATTTAACATGGGGTATCCAAGCCCATAGGCTCAGGCAAAAATTCCCAGTAGAACCCATAAAAAACGGGGTTGGGTTGGTCTATCACCCCAGACAAGACTCTACCCTTTGGTATAGCCTCATCTGGGTTTCTCTCTACCCAAAGGCAGAGAGTTCAACCATATAGCTGAAAAGATTTCTGCTAGTATATTTAGCTACCACCCCATGAGGGTTGCATGTGGCACAAGGCCGGTTTAACGTGGGTTCTTCGAGCCCATAGGCTAGGCCAAAAATATTCCCTTTTTGAACCCACATAACCAGGTTCAGGGGCATTCTACCTCCCCGAATGAGATTCTGCCCTTTGGCAGGACCTCATCTGGGTTCCTCTCTGCCTGAAGGCAGAGAGTTCAACCGTCTAGCTGGAACAGATTCCAGCTAGACTTTGTAGTCCATTGACTTACAGATACTTATAGGCGGTTACTACCTATAGTGTAGTCACTCATTGGGATAACAGGTTATTCCATTACATAAGGATATAAAACTTATAACTTTGGATGTCATGCACAGATGTCACCATACTTTCATCAATATCCTTGATCCAGGCTTCATGTCTGTCTCCTTAAAGCTAATTCTTTTATTGTATTCTCAGTTTCTTTCACTTTCAGTAACCCTTTACACGCTAGTAGCTTTTATTACCTTTCTTGGGGTCAAATGATTAAAAAAACAAATATATGTTGTTACTAAGTTAGGGGTTACTATTTGAAGTTGAGAAGGTGTTGTTTGTTGAACATAAACCAAAAGTTGGTTGAGAAAATAAACAAAGGAGTGAAACAAAACAAGATAAAAATATTTATTCTATCAGAAACATTTTTCCTGGAGAGAAAAATTCAAAGAGTGTTCTTAAGAGTTTCTGTAAAGAATGAAGAAAAAGTTGGCGAATTAAAGAGTTAGTGATGTGTATGGTCTAAGCCATGTGCAGCTACTGTACAGAATGCTAATTTTGGTATGCTAACCCAATCTTGGTGAAAGAGAACAGGTTCATAGCATGCATGCTCCTAGTTTGTTTGTTTATTTTTATGCATACTCAAAAACTGAAAAGGGGTTATCGATAAATGATTGTCTAACAAAAAGATTTAACATCTGTTACATACATCATTATTACAAATTTTTATAATTCAACAACAAATATTACGTTTTCATACATGATTTGTACACTACTCATCTGTGTGGTTATTTTAGTCCAGTTGCAGCATAATTAATATTTACTGTAGCTTTTACAGGAATATGGGCCAGCAATTTATATAAGGATAATAATATATATAAGATACAATTAAATACTTAAAAACCCTAAGACTAATGGGGTGCTATGAAAGAGAGAATGTTTCGAGTTTAAATTTCCCCATTCTAGGCATTATTGTATCTGTGATATACCAACATCTTAATACAACAAACAGAACAGAACAGATGAAAGAAAGGAATGACAAGCATGCATTGCTTTAAAATGAATTTCTTTTACCAATATATATATAACTGTCACACACAGAGAAATTATATAAAGTTTGTATGCAACAAGCAGTGTGAAAGGGGCAAAAAGCAAAAGGATCTTACAATATTTCCTAAAGAGAAAACTGGCAGGGCGGTGATGTCCTTTATGTAAGATCATGTGGTTTCCTCTGTTCTATTAACTGCTATGAGTAGTTATGTTATTTTTCTGCTGCCTATATAACAATTGGTGTGGAAAGACATGTCTTGCTTCTATGCATGCTAAATAGCAACTAGTGTCTCAACCGAAGGGAAATAATTGCCTTTTGCATTCCTACAAAACCATTTACTTTGAAAAGCTACAAAAATAATCTAACATACATCTTTCCAAAAAATGTTAACATGTAAATAAATGTATGTTTTCAATTTTATTGTAATTTTAAATAAATGGCTGTTTTAAATTTTGCTGTAATTATTGGAAATTTATTTACTATATTATGATTGTAACAAATTAATAACGTTGATAAAAAAAATTGTTAAAATTTAAAAATACATTATATTTTTAACCTAGAAATATAAAATATTACTTTTATAAATATGTTTTCAATATGGATTTTTTTCTTATATTAGAAATCATTAAATTTAAAACTTAATTTTATCAACTGAGATAATATCTGTGAAACCCACATTACTGGAAAGTACCAAGGTAGGTAACTCTCGTCGTTTATTTATTTTTTTAACTTGTCAACGTCAGCAAGTGGCGTGGCACCGTTTGCACTGCGCATGTCCGGTATTTCCGGTAGCTGCCATCTTTTTTCCTTTGGCTGCTGCTTTAACATCATGTCTACGTGGATGTTAGCATTGAAACTTAACAAAATGTCTACTCACTTTCAGATCTTCTTTACCTTGTTCTGTTTCCTTATCTCTACTACATCTGGCCTCTATTTCCACATAGGTGAAACAGAAAAGAAATGCTTTATAGAAGAATTACCCGATGAAACTATGGTTGTTGGTAAGTGAGCATTTTTTTAAATTTAGTTTTATAAACTTTAGCAAGAAAATAGGAAATTTGTAATTCTTTAGTTTACTAGATAAATTTGAATCTTTTTAAAACCTGTATATTTTTTTCATTTATCTCATTTTTTTTACTCACACTGAAGACAGTTCGTACTAGTTGTTGCGTAAAAATTATTGGTATTGAAAATGAATTTCAAGAAACTCATTTAAATTAATTTAAAAAGTTTTGATTTTTTTTTTTTTTTAAATTTATGTCCAATTCGAGTTTTATGTCTTTTGATCGCTAGTAAATAATTATAATTTATAAACCACTTATACTTTAGCTACTCTTAAGTAAAGTTAAAAACTTAAAATACAAATTTAAAAAAACTATGTTCCTAAAAATTTAACGAAAAGTAGGTGTACTGTAACATTACAATGTTTTTTTTTGCTCCGATTGTGGATGAGAAATGTCATTTATTAAAATAAATGACAACAAATTAAACAGTTTTGCTCCACGTAAGTCATAAAAGTCAGACATTAAAAAGTAAAAAAACATTTAAAAATTAATTATCCCAGTATTATTTTTTAAGTTAGATCCTTTGAGTTTTGATCAATATTCTGAGATTTTGAAAGAATGAAGAAAATCATTTTCAACGATTCTCAACTGATCATAATGAATCGCTTGCACAATCATTTAAAATTTGAGATATCGTTTTTCGATTAAGAATATGCCAGTTGAGTTTATAGTTTTTTTGTTTTTTTTTACTTCATTTTATCTTGTTCACACTACTTTGACAGAGTTGGAATTCCGGTTGAGTTCCTTTACATTCACTTACCCTTAAAGAAAGGTATGGATCTTTCTCCTCCCAGAGTTATAGATTATTAGTTGAACTTGTGGAAAAGTCATTGTTATTTTGAAAAAAAATCCTAATGCAATATTCACTCGCAAAAAAGAAGATTCTTAACAATTCAAAATGTTTCGATTTTAAATAACCAACAAAGTGTTAATAAGCTGTAATAATAAAATAAATCAATAAATCAAACAGCACGAAATTCTAAACCCAATAAAGAAGTCTCTTCTGACAATACTTGTACTCAATCAATATCGAGCTGTTGCGGCTTGATCACAAACATCCAGCTTCCCGTAACAAAACTTTTTTTTTCTTAAGGCAAGAAGACGCATTTTGTGTTTTGGGATACAAATGCAAGTCTCGTTGAATTTTCCTTTCCTTCAGTATTCTTTAAAAACAAAAAGTGGAGGCAATAAGGTGGAGAGAAAAAAACTGATAACAGAAAAGTGGTTTCTAAAGAATTTTTATTTATGCCAGTATTAAGGAAATGTTTCAATTGTAGTTATCTACCTTGAATTACTTTCTTTCTTTTTTTATTTCCTCCACATTTCCTTTTGCAAAACAGCTGTTATCGAACAGGATTTAAAAATTTAGTTCTCATTTCGCCAACATAGGCAAGCTACTAAGTTTTGTATTGCTACTACTGCTTTTTTTTCTTCTTTTTCATTTTTATAGTAATCTAATTATAGCCAGATGATATTATAAATTGTCTTTGCGAAAACTTAAAAAAAACGGTTTTGTTACCTGTCTGTTTTTTAACTTTTTTTTTTAATCAAGTATTGTGAGAAAACCGGTTTTTATCAATTCACATGGTATCTTATTCATTTTTTTCCGGTAGGGGTGGGAGATATAGAATTTATCGACTCTTTTTTTTAATAATTGTTTTTTCTTTGTCATAGTGCTTTGTTTTCAATGGTATGCTTGTGAAGACTTCTCTGTCTGTCTGCTAACTTTTTTTTTCTCTCTCGTTCTTCTTTAACGCTTACACAATTATTTATTTATGATACAAAGACGTACAAGTGTTGTCATAAAAGTAATTACTGAAAACAACGAATAATCCGAAACTTCAAAACTGAGATTTTTATCAAAAGCATCTATTTCGCAACTAAAGTCTTTGTTTTGTTAAAAAGTTATACAAAAAAAATGAAACAATTTTATTTTTAACGTTTGCCTAAAAATATCCATTTTATTCTTGATTCTGGTTCAGTTAATTTTTCTGTTTTTTAACAACTTTTGAATACTGCAGTAGTAGTAGTAGTAGTAGTTATAACTGTTATCCCGTTTTAGGCACTGACTAGACTATAGACTGATCCACACTTTTTCTTTTTCTTTTTTTTTTTTTTTTTTTTTTATTTAATGAATAATTTTTGTAGATTAGCATTCTTTTTAGATCTTTCACTTGTCGCGGGATTTCTAGGAATCGAAACATTGACTTTTTTTATCAATTTATGAGAAGTCTATTCATACAGTATGAAATCGTTCCCTGACACTGACAATTTGTTTTAAGTTACAAACATCATTGATATTTGCATACTTTTTTAAAAATGTTCCAATAATTTGAAAATGTAATAGGCTTGTTCTCTAATGACAAAAACTTCTTTTTTTTTTTTTTAGAAAAAATTAAATCTATTTTCCCAAATAGTTGCCAGCTTAAAATATTTTCTTAAAATAAAACATATTTAGGTACCTCTCAAAGATTCACTGAAAATGAGCATACTGATGGAAAAAATGTCAACTTAACAAAAATAAAGCTTTATTGTAAAAAATCTTTGTGTTATTAAGAAAGTATTTCTTTGTGTATGTTTTAATCCTTTTTTTTTTTTTTTTTTTTTTTAAGAACACTTGAAATTTTGTTTAAAAAATCTTTTTGGAGATGAGTGGACATCAACATGTAACCATAAGTTTTCATGGGAAATTTTAGCATCTTGCAAAAATTGTCAGCTTTTAATGGAACTTCCAAAACTTATTCAGAAATGAATGAAATATGTTGATTTTTGCAAATATGGACACAGCATTAACAGAAAATAAGATCAATAATTATACTAAATTTAAAATTTATTACTAATTTTCTAACATTTCCTCAACAAGTGTGTTTGTAACTATAAAGCCAAAGTACCTAAATTCAATAAAACTGAGTAAAATATTCTAAAAAAAAAAAAAAAAAAAAAATTAGTATTACTGGGTAGTTAAAAATAATATTTTAAAAAGTGTCATGTAATTTTATTTTAATTATCTCCCTTCTCCTTACATAAATTAGCCAAACATGATGTTAACTCATACAAACACCCACCTCTATTAAAAGATGCTTTTCTGGAATATTTTAAACGAAAAGTAACTTAGATTCAATTCAGATTAATTATACTTTAAATCAGTTAATCTTCCTCAAATAAAGTTTCAGAAAAGCTTATTTTAATTTTTGAAAGATTTTTAAAGAGTAATAATATTGTATTAACAGATCTATCAATAGGGATGACTTCATTGATTTTACTGATAATCAAGAAAAAAAAATTATTCCGTTTCCATTTGAAATACAGCAAAGTATTTTGCTTATTAGAATTATTAAATTTAATCTATTAGCTTGGAGTTTTAAAAAAAAAAAGTTTTGAGAAAGATTTTTTTTTTCATTCTTAAAATGCATTTTAAACCTTAGATATTGCTTCTTTTTTTCTTTCTTTTTTTTTCTTTGAGGTACCTACATTTAAAAAAAATCCTTTTGTAAGATAAAGTTGACAATGACATAAGCAGTTTCAAACTTCACATTTGTAAACAAACCTCTAATTTCTGATAATTCTGTGAAAGTCAGGGATCAGTTTAACACTGTATCACTTATGAACAGAAGTCCCCCTCTCTCTAAAATGATATTTTTTTGAATCTGACAATTGTTACAGCTGAAAGGAGGTCTGAAGAATGCTAATCTACGAAAATTTACCCTATTTTTTTTTTTTTTACGAGTGGACCAATCTACTTAAGTAGTTTTTTTATCATACCAAGTTATTCTTGTTCTGTTTAATTTTTTTTAATTGGAATACATTCATTAACATTCAAGTTTGTACTCATCGCAATATTTAAGATGTCTTACCATTTATAACCTACATTGGACAAAAGAATTTTATTTGTATTTTGTGTCATTTACAAGAGAAAGAAACCATTTAAAATTTCCTATTGATAAGTATTTCTTTTAATGACTACACATTAACAGAAAAATAGAATTAAAATGTATTTATTTTTTTATTAGAAATTATAGCTCTTACTATCTTTTGTAGTGATTTAATCACATTGTCATCTTGTATATATTCTGTGAATGACCTGTAACCAAAAGAAATTATTTCTTGAAATAAACTTAGTATTATCAAAGAATATTGTGGAACATTTTCAAATTGCTTGATAATGAAAAACAAACCTTTTTTTCAATTTTCCTAATCTTGACAATAACGAGATGGTTTCAACATTTAAAACTATAACATAAAAAGCTTCTCTTCACAGAATTTGTGTAATGGGAGTCTTCTTTCTGGTTAGAATATTTTCTTTTTCATCTTTGTTAGTTTTCTTTTCTGCTGGATGTGCTGTAATTCTTTATTTTCCCCTTGTCTCTTTAAGAAATCTAGTGTTTCTAGTTGAGTTTTAATGACGATGGAGTCACAAAGGGGCTGATTGTACACTGACATGCATTTACATTTGTAAATTACTATTTTTCCCACATTTTCAGGCAAGTATAAAGTTGAAATATTTGACCGCAACGTAAATGACTATGTTCCCACTGTATATGGATTGGGAATGCATGTGGAAATCCGAGATCCAGAGGACAAAGTGATAATGTCTCGGGTAAGATCTTGTGTGAATAATGTGTAGAACTTACAAGTTCTTCATTTTTCACACATTAGGACAAATGGCCGTCCTTCCGCAGGAATTGATGTTATTAGCCATAGCTTCATTCTTTGTAATGCTCTCAACTCCTCAAAAATTAGCATTTTACTTTTTCATGAATTCAAACCTGATATTTTTTTTTTTTTTTTTTTAATCACTGTTGCTGATATTTCTAACAACCTAAAATGATATTAGTTATGATAAGATTTTATGAAAAGTTGATTTTACTTTCTAAAATTATAAACTATTATAACACAAGTAAAGCGAATGCAAGGGAGATATATAGATATCTTCAAATTAACATTGGAATTGAGTTTAGTAACTTTATATCAATATGAAATAACAAAGTAACACTATTTTATTGCTGTGATCTTTTTTTTTTTTTTTTTTTTTTTTTTTTTTTTTAAGATAGAGGACACATCTCTGTTCTTTTTCAGTGATAAATTCTATTAATTGACTATTATAAATCAATTCATACTAATTTAATTCTATGAGCAACAGCAGTATTTTACAAAATGAATTTAAAGACATCTTGTTTGTCAAATCTTCTGAAATACTTATCACTTGTTAAGATTAAGTGAATGCTATTTGTTATGATGGCTTTAAGAGCAAATCCAAAGAATTCAGCTGGCTGATGTGCTTGCTCATGATGCATCTATTAATCTACTAACTATGCATGAACAGTTGTTCAACTTGCTTCCAGCTACTGGCAGAATTTTCCCTGTTTTGACACCACTTTTGCTTCCTATTAAGGTGTAGTTATTTCTAACTTGCTATTCCTTCACTATTTACAAACCATTCCTTGCAGGCAAGTACAAAGTTCAGGTGTATGACCATGCTGTCAAGGACTACATGCCGCCTGTACAAGATATTGGAATGCATGTGGAAGTTAAAGATCCAGACGATAAGATTGTACTTTCACGGGTGAGTTTCCCCACATTTCAATGGGGTCATGTTACCCCACTCCCTCATAATTATTTAATTTTTCTCACTGCCAGAGGTGGTAGCACCTTGTACTATATACACATGCACATACTTTTATGTTGTTTTTTTTTTTTTTTTTTTTTTTTTTCTCAAAACTATTCTCTCTTAGAAAGTACTAATAAAAATTTCAGTAGCCTGTGTAACTATTTAAAATAAGCTCATTTAGATGTTAAAGTTAAAACATGGATTGTTTAAATTTTGACAATTTTTTTTTCTATATCTTAATCCAATTTACTTTCTATGTAAAAGTTCTTTACTCTAGGCTCATTGTTTTATTTTAATATGTGAGCAAGATTACAAGTTTTGACTTGATCTAACTTTTATCAGTTTAAAAAGAAATATTGCTTGCTCTTAATGTTAGAAAATAAGCACATTTTATCATTAGATTGGTTCTCAAATAATCTATAGGGAACTATTTTATTGAATTAATTTTTGGATATTACTTTGTATTAATTTGTAATTGGGTATTATTCACTTTGTTTGTTCAATATAATCTGAAGTTATTTATCAATCGTAAATAGGTTGGTTTGAGGAATTCTGTCCCACTAGCCATCAGTATTTTTTTCTGTCAACTATGAAGCTTAAGGGGATTGGGTCACAAAATAATTTTATTATCCCAGAAAATTAAACTCGTAATAAAATTGTAAAACTATCCCAGTTTGAGATTTAGTAAGCCTCATCATAATTCTTCCAACTTGTTTAATTTAGTTTCACTGCTAATTTAATATTAAATTTGTATGGTGATGGATATACTAATCGGTACACTATTCAATGTTTGAGCTATTACTTGAAGTTCACTTTTTATATCTTTACAAAGTTTACATGCTTTTGCATTATGAATGCAAGTTCACACTTTAAGATTAAAATTTTATTCTGTGTAAATCATTGAATAGATTTTATACCTTCTTCAATTTCATTCATGTCTTTATACTGAATGATTTATTTTAAAAGTGTCAAAAATATATATATATATATATATATATATATATATATATTGATGCAGGTTTCATTAAATAATATAGACAAGTTTTGTCTATTTATTTTAAGTAAATTCCTTTCATATTGTCTGATAAGCTTAATAACATTATCATTGAAAGATGAAAGAAAAACACAATATTGATACATGTTTTTTAATCCTATCTAAACTTTTGGCTTACATAAGCCATTATCAAAGATGACAATTACATTTCAATATATTAAACAATACACAGACAAAATTTGTTGCATGAAAGATTTCCAAGCAACAACAAACCTGTGTATATGAAACATCGAAACGAAAATCGTACTGCAGCTCATGACCACGAGAAGTGTTAAGTATGAGAAGCAGTTGGTATAAACCAATGGCTTCTATTATCAATTATAGGTATTTAAGAATATTTGGAGATTTCATAATTTATTTTGTTCAGGTTAGGTTTCAACTGTTTTATGTATATAGCTTCAAGAATTTTTAGTTTTTGTTTATTGTTTTCATGTTTAAGTATAGTTGTTTTCAACGAGAATTTTCCAGAATTGTATATGCGGCCAGGCATGTTGTTTTAAATGCTTAAAAATGTTAGTTATCATTCAAATGTAGAATCATTACAAATAATTGAGTTGGGTATACTAGATTTAGTGTATATGATTAATTTAATTTTTTTGCTAGGATCTGTTGTAGATATATTAGTATTCACTAATTTTTTAGTATATTTTCATCTTGTTTATAATTAGTATGCATTTGACTACAATATAGGAGATTAATATGTTTGGGATTAGTTGAAGCAGTATTATATTCTATTTACTTAGTATTGAGACTTCTAAGAGAGCATCTTATTTGTTCAACTATATAGTTTGGAAAGCTATTATTAAATGTTTGTTTTATATTCTTTAGTTCACTGTAAAAAGTCTGTTTTGTGGATGAATTAGTTTCTGCATGATGTATTAGATTTTTTATAATTGCTATTTTGTAGTAATATGGACATTCGCTCTCGTAGTTAAGTGTACATTAATTTATGCTGGTAGTTTTGTTTTTTTTTGTTTTTTTTTTGTTTGGTATGGCAAAATAGTAAATTTGTTATTATTTGTGTTTATCAATATCTCAAGGAAGGGAATTTTATTAGTATTAAGTTCATACGTGAATTTAAGGACAATTATTTTGGAAACGTTTTTGAAGTTGAAGTTTTTCATCTGTATTTTTAACTAACATAAGGATATCATCAATATATCTTAGATAGATGGATGGTTTTTTAAAATCTGTAAATATCTTATTTTCGAGGTTCAACATGTAGAAATTGCTAAATGTCAGATCCAGTACTGAACCTATGGAGACACCATCACGTTGTGTGTGTGTATATATATATATATATATATATATATATATATATATATATATTATTATTATCTAAGAAAGGGACTTCAGTAGTACAAGCTAATAGTAGTTTCCATAATATATTAGGATTAATTTTAAGTGGGGGGTATAAAGATGAGTTAATGTAAATATTTCTTATAATTATGTCAATAGTTTCACTAACAGGGACATTGGTAAATAAGTTTTCAACATCCAGTGAAGCTATGATTTCATTGTTGGGTTTTTCACTTTTTAGGATTTGGATTACTTCTAATGTTGACTTAACACTATATTTACTAGGAAGATAGGGAGTAATGAGTTGATTAATGTATTTTGTTAGCTGATATACAGGAGTTGGAATTTGCGATATGATAGGGCGGAGAGGATAGTTAGGTTTATGTGTTTTTATAATGCCATATATGTAACCAGGTCTATAATCATTTTAGGAAGTTTTAAAAAAAGAGTTCTGTTCAGCATTATTAGCAGTAATGAGTTTATTAAGCTTTGATTTTAGTTTGTTGGTCGGGTTCTTGTTGAGTTTTTTAAACTTTGTGATCATGGAGTATGTGGTCAAGTTTTTTGTTGTAATCCAATTTGTTTAGGATGACAAAAATGTTGGTCTTACCAGCTTTTTTTTTTTTTTTTTTACAGTTATGTGAGGGTGGTTGCATAGTTCTTGTGCGAAAATTTTTAGTTGTTTAGAAAGTATTGTTGAGGAGTGAGTTTCTGCTTTTATCATGCCGAGCTTGAATGCCTCAGCCTTAAGTAAGTCTTTAAATTCTGGTGTTGTTTCTATTAGTTGTTCATCCTGGAGTTTAGCAATGTTTTGGCATAGCATCTCAATTTCTGATATGTTTTTTTTTTTTTTTTTTTTTTTTTTTTTTTAAAGGTCAATTATACTTATGGTATATATGACAGTTAGGTCCAAGGTTAAGCAATTCTTTTTGGTGATTAGTTCATAGTGGGGAAGGTTAATGAATTTATCAATTTTGTTAGGAAGAGTGATAGTACCTTTGTATGCATTCAGTTTTTTTATAATTTTAAACCAGTGTTGAGCTTCAGATTTATTGGTAATTTCCATGAGTTTATGCCTAATTTCCTCTGGTTGGTCCGGGGTAGTTAAATCTTTTAGTTTATCATAGATGTCCTGTTTGTTGCTGTTAAGGGTGATCAATTTTCCTTTGGCTATTTCAATTTGCCTTTTCACAAGGCTACATTTATAATTCCAAGTGTTGATATTTTGGTGGGCTGCTGGATCATATAGTTTAAATTGTATATATTTTTCATTGATGCATGTTTCATTAAATAGACAAGTTTTGTCTGTTTATTTATTTTATATATATATATATATATATATATGGTTCCTCCAATAATTCACTAAAAAATCAGTATAGCATAATGATAAAAGGTCTGAAACTTAATAAAAACAGTTTCATCATTAAAATGTTTGTTATTATTAAGAGGAAAGAACAAAGTATTTTTTAAATTTTTTTTCCTTCTAACATGTTCTAAATTTGGTTCAAAAATCTAATTTTCTTTTTTCTTTAACTTTGTAAGACTCGTGATCATCGCCATTTTTTTTAGTGTAGCAGTTTCGGGGGAAACCCATTAATTTGAAAATTCTTGAAAAAAATCAAATAATTGTCTAATTTAAATAAAACTTTCACGGCTTATTCAAAAATAAATGAATTTATTTTTGAAATTTTTATTTTTATAAAATCTTCATAAAAAATTTTTTTTTTTTTTTTTTTTTTACATTTGTGCATCAAAATGTTATATATTTTTTTTTTTTTTTTTTTTTTTTTTTTTTTAGTATGATATCTCATAAATGATATTATGGTTAAAAGGTCAGGTGTTCAAAGCTTGTCTCCTCCTTGACGTGTAAAGGTCTTATGTCACTCTCAGTTATTAAATTAAAAATTGAGATAATAAAATTATCTCATTCATCAATTTAAATAATAAATAACTTGGTGAGATATTTTAATTATTGATATAATAATTTTATTAATCATTATCTCAGTTATTAAATTAAAAATGTAATAATGTAATGCAGTATTAGTTCTCATTATCTTAGCTATTAAATAATGAAAGAGATAGAGGTAACTCAATAATGTAAGAAATTTTTATAGTATTTTAAATTATTATAAGAAACAAAAAAATCATTGTCACTTTTGATGCATGTACTAAACCTGTCAACACATTCAGCCATCAAATTATCGATGGAGATGTGAAAATAACAAGACTCCGAGGTCAAGAAATGTTTGTCTAGAAAATTTTATGCTATAAGTAAGTGATTTTTGTTTCAGAACAGATTGATTTAACTTTAAATTTGCTAATTTTACAAAAGTAACATTTCAGAAATGTATATCTTATTTTAGCAGGATTTTCAAACCTGAAAAATAAGTTTGTTTACATTTCTCTAAAAAAAAAAAAAAAGTTAAAAATGACCATTTTGATTGGTTTTTCGAAAGCATCAACTAAAAATCATTCAAATTTCTATTTGAAATACTCCACAGTATTTTTTTCTGGAATTAGAAAATTTAATCCTTTAGCTTTCAATTGAAGCAGTTGGAAAGCTTCAAAAAGGATTTTTCCTTTATGAAAAATACATTTAAACCTTAGGTATACTGAATTTTTGGAGGTACCTAATATATACGCACGCACAAACATCAGTAGTATGCATTATTTTCTTTATGCAATATATTACCCAAACAGTGCTATGCATATTACATTATCAAAGCCATGTTGATGAATGTAATTAAGTCTTACCCTAAAATTAGATTTAAGCCCAAGGGTTGTCATTTGGGAGTAAATCTACCAGCAGTACACAATGTTTACATAACCAAATCTATTTTTAAATATTGCTACATTTTGAAAAAGGAGAAAAAAAGAAAGAAAAGCAAATGCTAAATTATAAATCAAAATTACTTCCTTTCTGGACCAATGTCAATGAATATTTTGTAGACAAATCATTTGCCTTTTCATGTCAGGCTTTATTTCAGGAAAGCATATTAGGAATTTCATGTAAACAAAATGTTTTTTTTTTTTTTTTTTTTTTTTCTTTCTCTTGCTCTCTCCAATTTGTTTTGTGATATTTTTTTATTTTTCTCTCCTAAATTGTTTGATAGCTTGCTTAGCTTATATGTAGTGTAGTTATTTGTAATGTTGATTCTCTTAAGTGTTTATCTGTAGCATCAATGTAATATTCAGCTAAATTTTTTTTCTTTTATAAGTGACAGTAAATGAATTTCTCTTCCAAAATGTGATATTGTAAATGCTTTCCTTTCCATTCATGCATACTTTTTTTCTTTTATGTAAAGCTTGTTCCTCATTTAGTCGAGCCAGTCCCCCTTGCTTAATAGTTTTGTAAATCTACTTGTCAGATTAGGTTTGAATAGATCAAGCTATTTTGCTCATGTCAGTGTATCATAGATTGTAGATGACATTCAATTTTCAATCTTCTAATGTTAAAACAAAGCATTTTAGACATCAATGCAAATTATGACCAATTCATTCTTCCACTTATTGACATAGTTTATATTTTCCAAATAGTAAATCATAAAAACAGAAAAATATACAAGTTTTAATTTCTTAAGAATTCCAAACGGCAAAAGAACTCGTATATTTCAACAATTTTGATATGGAATGAAAATGTTATTTAAATTTATAATTATGACTGGAAACATTATTCCAAATATATTGTTTGCTACAGTGTTTCCATAATGATCTAGAATTTTTCCTTACTTTGTAGATACCACTTACCTATTAAAAAGTGACCTGCTATATGTGACCTATTGTTATAATAACAGTAAATATAAAACTTGTCTGATGCTCTTTATTTTCCATTAATGCTTCTATACTTTTTCTTTCCTGATTTGCATGTTTCAAGAGTTTCTTTAGCATTTCCCTTCTCTGAATGTTCACAAACCGCTTGTCATTCTTAATTTACAGTTGGCACTTCTTTGACAAATATAGCTGTCATTTGATGGTTCTCTACTTGCAAGCATGGAAAGTGTTGACAATATAAAGAGAAGTTTTATTAGTCATTTCTCATGTACCTTTTCTTTTCCTTTCCTTTTCTTTCTTTTTTTTTTAATTTGTCAAAACTGAGAAAAATGTCTTCCAAAGCCTTCAACTCAAAACCATGTCTAAAACGCTTTGTTGCATGTATAAAGTTCATTGGACAGTATTTGTACCTTTATGTACTCATTCACTAAGAATTGAATAGATACAACTCCATTTGTTGTAATCATGATTTCATTTAAATCTTTCATAACAGAATATCTTAATCTCTTAATGTATAATAAAATATTTTGGGACTATACTAATGACTTATTTTTACTATATTTATATACTGAAAAACATTTTCAAAATACTTACATTTCCTGGCATCAGAGACACACCCCAGTTTTGATTTGCAATATTTTTTGAGAAAAAAAATGAAATAGGATAGATCTATGGAGATGTTTGGTTGGTAACATTCAACTTGCAAGTTGTGGGGTAAAGATAATGTCTTTGACACTTGGAAATACAGTATATAAATTCTTTATAATTATTGCTAACAATTGAGTTTTAATAAAATATCATCTTAAACTTTGGCTTTTATTCTAACAGATAAAAATACTTTGTTTTGTTTTCACTTTATCTCAGTTTGGATCTGTCACATGCAAAAATATTTTTATGTTTATATTAATTTTTCTTCAGACTTATGCAGCTGAAGGCAGATTTACTTTCACATCTCATTCTGCTGGTGAACATCTTGTATGCCTCCATTCTAACTCCTCAGCTTGGTTCTCCAGTGGACAGTTGGTAAGTCATTGAATCAATCTTTTTTTATTTTTATTTTTTCTACCTAGTTTGAATATGATACAGACATCATTTTCTATTTAAATGGCACATTCTGTTTATAATAGATCAATACTAGCTATGCCTTGATTACCCAAGTTAGCTCCCTTTTGAGCTATCTGACTTGAAGTCATCTGAGAATATTGTTGTAATTTATCCAACTCACTGAAGTTACCTTAAAAAACTGATATCTTTTGTACCATGCGTTGGTTTTACACATTAACAAGAATTAACAAATGTCCTATAGTTCTTTCACTTTTATGCATTGGATTTGAATTAAAGCCTATTAGTAAGTTTAAATTATTTAAAAAATGTACATTTTTGTTGTGTGTGTGTGGGGGGGTCCGAGTCAAATATACTCAAATCATAATGAATTGGTTTTATTTTTCACACTACACTGTCAGATTTTAAGCAAGTCAATATAATAGTAATTAACCAATCAACAATGTTGGTAATTCCTTCAGGATACACTTATATTTATCTGAGCAATGTATCGTGTGAGTTTCAGCCTGTAGTATTTATCCTTGGAGCGGGGGGGTGCTCATGTTTTATTACACATACAAATGAAAACTCAATGAATTTTAATTTAGAAATATATTCAATGGATATAGGCCAGAGAAATGTATATTTATTTTCTTTGATTAATACAATATCTCATATAGCTGAATAAATTATATTTTTATGGGCTCTTTGATGTTCTGTAACCTATATCAATATTTTATTCATTGATTTTAACTTTTCTACTGTTTTGACTTAAACATGACCTGCAATTGTTTTTATTGCTTCCCAAGATTTTGCTTGAATATTGCTTTCTACTCTCATATACATTTCTTTTAATGATAGACTACAAATTTTCTAGTGGTTTAATATCTGGATAAACTGTTAATTTGATGTTTGTGAAACTTTTTTGACAAGGTGGATGAACTTTGCAGTGAGTGAAGTAGCATTATTTTGTATGGAGATACTCTTTAGTTTCAAACTTGTTGGTTGTGACCTGTACTGCCATAAAAAGATCTTGTCCAAAAACTTTGAATCATTTTCAATATTTATTTTACCAATACCAACTTATGCAGGAACATAAATCTAGCCAAAACTTTACTCCATTCCTCTAAGTCATTGACTATTTCCACAAAGGGCCTAACATCTAGCTTCTTAGCCAACAAGTTCATCCAATGAAGCTGTAAATTCATCAGTAGTAATTACTGTTAAGAAATCAGTTTTAATTTATTTCATTATTTAATTTAGATATTTCTCTTTGTGATTTTTATTTAAGGAGGTTTGGTTTCTTTCATGTTTTTATGTTTATTCACGTTTCTTTAAAATCCAGCTTCAGTTTTTGTTTTTTTTTTTTGTCTCTTCTTAGGACATTAAAGTTAAATTTTGTCTTGTTTTTATATTGTCAATATTTTAAATTTCTCTTTCATTTTTCATGAAGTCTGTTCAACTTTTTCATTATGTTCATATTACTTAATAACTTTAAAACATCTTGTTTCTCTTTTGAGGTTTATATCTTTCTTATAATCTTGATATATCTGGGTAAAAAAAATGTCAATAACTAATATATAAATAATGATGAGCAACCCTCAAGTTTCATAGTAAAATCTTCACACCACCAAATAATTTGCTGTAAATATTTCTAATAAAAAAATTGATATTAGATGTTGAAATTTACATGATATATTTATCATATAAGTATATCCTAAAAATCTCACCTACTTTGGCTGCTTCATATCAATTTTATTGTGAAAATATTGATTTTCATAAAATCTGATGTAGTGTTAAAAGCTTTTATAAAATTCTTATAATGTAAGAATCATTTCTTTTGAGGTATTATGAAAAAAAAATTAGATTGCATTTATTTTTGTGAGACTGCCATATGCTTTGATAAAAGTTGGGAATAGGAACTATCAGTATCTGTCTATATTTCTGAGATGAGGTATTATGTACACTATTTACATTATTCAGTCCTCACCCCTTTATTTATGCTGTATGGATGGTGGGAGTTGAAATTGAGATACTGTCTGGTGAATGTCGGTTTACTGTATACAGCTGTCTTGAACCTTTGCTCTGTTTGAGATATTAGAACATTCAGGAATGGTAGTGTGTTGTTACTCTTTCTCCATCGTGAACTGTATCAAAGGTCTTATTGAGTTCACATGGTCCAGTAGAACCTTCCTGGTGTGGCCAGAGTATGAAGGTGTCATCTACATATCTTAACCATAGAGTTGGCTTTAGAGATAGCTCATTGCTAAGCCCTCATCCTGTCGATATGTGTGATCCCATTCCGAAGTGTGTTGTTTGTGTACAGAAAGTCAATATCTCCATCAGATTATCTATTGGAATACTGGTTCGTTCTTCTAGAGATGAGTCAGAGGTCAATCTGTCACTGACTACTGAGAGTGCTTCCTCCATGGGTACCTTGAATAAACTCACCACATCCAAGCTCACCATCTGGTCAGATAGGATAGGAGCATCTTTGATTATTTGCATGAAGTGGGTGGAGTTTTGGCCATGTGAAAACCACCTGAAGAAAGCCAGAGCCGTTGAAACATTGTAGTAAATATGGCAACAAAGATGAGGACAATAGTCCAAATAATGTAAATAGTGAACTATCAGTTCTTATTCATGTTTCATCAGTTACTACACTGATTCATCCTACTGTCATATCTATCAGTGCATTTGAAGGAAACATAAAAAAAAGAAGTATTTGATAAAAACTAATAAGCTTTTATTTTTGCTAATTTTTCTGAGTAAAAACAAATCTCGACACTATTACGATATTGCTTTTCCTTCTCAAGTTTTTTTTTTTTTTTTTTTTTCAACTGTACTTGAAAGTCTTAAACCAATCATTTAATTCCAGAGAGTTCACCTTGATATTCAAGTAGGAGAACATGCAGTTGATTATCAACAAGTTCAGACCAAGGATAAACTGAGCGAACTTCAGTTGCGAATCCGGCAGTTGCTTGATCAAGTCGAACAAATCACCAAGGAACAAAATTATCAAAGGGTATGTTGCCATCTTTATTATTTAGACAGCAAAGAATAATGAAATCTTATAGAATCATTTGATTTCATCAAATAATGTTGCAAACGTCCATGTTTCGGTTTTTATCATGTCTCCTTTTATTGTTAAATGAATATTTCAGCCAATCCATTCTACTGTCTACAGATGTGAAAGGAATGGTTGCAACCTAGATATTTAATGAAAAAAAATTCTTTTCACAAGCATGGTTGCCAAATATAAATATAAATAGATTTGAGAGATCAGCTCTAATAAAATTTCAAATGTCACTACTTTTTACAATAAGCTGGGCTAAGTTAAACTGCTAATGAGAAAAATGTCAATTCAAAATTTAATATCAGTGGGCTTTCAAATGTTTCACACTTTAATACTTGAAGCCCAGTCTGATAACTGTGTTCACAGGTTTTTTTTTTTTTTTTTTTTTTTTTTTCAAAATTAATTTATTATTAAAGACTTTGAACAAATGAGTATATTTAGTTGATGATAATCACATTTTATCTGTTGATAGTACGGACTTGACTCTTCGAAAACAATACTTTCTCCTAATCCCCTTACAAGATTTGAATTTCTTGATTTCTGTCTGATAAACACAAACAACTTTGCCTGGTTAAAAGCATAGGCATTGCAAACTGTTATTTAAAAAGAAATTAAAACAAAAGTACACACTGATTTGGGAATATGCATAATTGAATATTTTTCTGTTTTGTTACTTGTATGACTCTTTAACATATCATTATACTTTGTAAGTTCCAAAAACCACACACTTTAATCTGGTAACTACTTATGTTTGACAAATATTGAAGTGCTATCCACAACCACCCTTTATGTAAGTTTATGAATTACAGATTCTAGGAAATTCTTTTATAATTGGAAGTACACAAGTTGTGGGGTGGGTCTTAATGATTAGATATGGATTTTTCTTGATGGGATGAACAGAGGAGTTGGAAAATCATTCAAAGGATCAATAAACTGTAAAATAAATGGACAGGACAGTCTCAATAAATGGACAGGACAGTCTCAATAAATGGACAGGACAGTCTCAATAAATGGACAGGACAGTCTCAATAAATGGACAGGACAGTCTCAATAAATGGACAGGACAGTCCACTTGTGGGGCTTTGAATTTTCTTAACAACCACCTTTTTCCACCAAGGTATTAAGATTCATAAGGAGAAAAAACTTAATTTGTGCCTCCTGATAAATTCTGAGTAGATTAAAACAAACATTTTTCAATATCAGTTATAAAATATATGTATGAGAGTCTTGTTCACTAGATAAAAATAATGATCAAAAGAGTTATGTGTGATATGACTTCAGATTTTTTTAATCCTTTTGTTGGTTTTGTGTGTTTCAGTACCGAGAAGAAAGATTTCGCCTGACTAGTGAGAGTACTAACCAACGTGTACTGTGGTGGTCAGTAGCCCAGACAGTCATCCTCCTCATCACAGGATTTTGGCAGATGAAACACCTAAAGAGTTTCTTTGAAGCTAAGAAACTTGTGTGAGACTGGCAGCTGATAGCAATCTTTTAAAAAAAATTTGTTTTTTTTTTTGTTTGTTTTTTTTTTTTTTTTTGTTTTGTTTACTATATTTATTTTTTTTCTCTATTTCTCAGATAAAGTCATTTCTTTCATTCTTTCTTCTCTTTCCAGTTGATCTTTTTCTTTTTTTTTTTCTTTCCTTACCTCTCTTTTAGATACCAAATTAGATTTTTTTTTTCTTCTTCCTTCTTTCATTACTTGAAAGATTCATCCAACTTTGGTTTGGGGATAATGTTTCTGAAAACTTTTACTTTGTAAAAAAAAATTTATTTCCCACTTTTTTTTTTTTTTTTTTTTTTTTCCTTCCTTCCACCTTGAAATTCCTGTTTCTCTCATCTGCCATGCATCATAATTTTTGTAAACTCATCCTCATTGCTTGATTGTAAAATGGTTTATATATTAAAGTATGTAAGACCTTTTCACCCAAATCTGACTTTTTTCTTTATTTTTCAATATAGCAAGTTACTATGTTTGATTGTAATGTTGTGCATGACAGAATTTTAGTTGTCTTATTTGCTATAAGATGCACGCATATGTGTTTTAATTCAAATTATGCATAATTCAAACTAATTATCACGCTTGTCATCTTGTTGAATATTTGGTTGAACTACAACTGAAATGTCCAAATGTAATCAATAGCATTTGTTTCTTTCTAATTTTTTTTAATAATTGTTTGGCTGTACAAGCAAGACTTTTCAAGGTGTACATATTTTTCAGATGCAATCAAAGTAATGTACAAAAATCAACCAGAAGAAGGAAAACGTTATTTTTAATACGATTGGATTTCTTCTCCCCAAGTAGGGAGAATTGAACTTATTTCATCCCCCCCTCCCACTGTCCTTCACCAAAGATTTGTACCTAATACTGTAGCAATACCTTAATGATATACAAAAGCTATGCAGTATAATAAGCAATAATTACTGACAGGCCTGATTTTTGTATATGCATATATAGATTGCTATAAGAGGAACACAGCAAAAATGGTTAGAGGAGAATTTTTGTTAACTCTGTGCCATTCAAATTCTCAAAGATGGAATAAAAAAAAAAATTACTGTCTAAACATGCCACTAGTTTCCAAGTAATTTTGAATGAACTATCAATTGATGATGGACATGTGGGTGGTGCAATGGTTAAAGGTTCAGAACAAGAAATCGGCAAACTGAGTTCAAATTCTAGTCTAGACTGTTAGATACACTTTAAAACAAATATGCTTGCGAAAGGTATGAATCCATCTCTTCTTCCCACCAGTTATGGATTAAATAACAAGATAGCCTTAGCCAGAGAGCCAAGTCTAACAACTACCATAAGATAAGGCAACAACTCTGTATGCAAAACCACATGCGTCCTTAGTGGCACACACACTTGAACAAGGCAATGCAAGATGGCAATTGACGTTGCATTTAAATTTTTTGAAGATTGTAGTTATCAGGGAACCAAATAAGTGGAAAGGAGTTCCACTGTCAGGAAGTGCGAGAAAAGCAACTGCTGTAGTAGAAGTGACAGTTACATTTAACATAGGACCCAGGACTCCTATGTTTGTCTGGAAGAGGACCCATTCAGTATGATCTTCATTTCATGATTTGATAGGAATGATTAGATTAAACCAAATAATTGACCTGTAATACCATAACCCTGAAGCTTACATAGAAGACCAGCATGTTAAAACCTGTCAAGCACCTTTGAGATATATAGTCACAGCTCAAGCTTCACCATTATTAGCAAAAGCTTGATATACATATTCAGTTATGGCTGTAAGCACATCAGTGATAGACCAGGTAAACAGAATCCATATTGTTTGTCAGATGCTTAACCTCTCCAGCATTGATTAAAGACTCAAAGATTTTGCCAAAAAGAGATAGGAGACTGATAGGACAGTAGTTATAGGGGTCAGAACGTTCTCCAGAGTTCTTAAAAAAGGGGAGGACTTCCAACAGGCTGGAAAGCAGGAAGCACTGAGATAATAATTGTATACTTTGGAGAGAACTGAAGCTAGCTCAGGAGCACATTTCTTTAGGATGATAGCTGGTATTCCGTCGCCTCCACTTACCCTATGGGTGTCTAATTTAGAAATGATGTCCGAGACCAACGGGTTATGGACATATCACTCAGTAGAGCCTCAGTTCTAGTGGGTAAGTCAAGTGTGAGCATATCGGATAAGTCCAGAGTCGAGTTGGATGTGAATTTTAGAGCAAATCATTCAGCCTTATCTGCTGTAGACTTTGAATTGATTGAATAGAGGCGGGATTGAGAATTTTCCAGGGCTGCCAAAAATCTCTAGAACCAAACTTGCAAGATGCTATATGATGTTTCATTCTATCTGCAAACAGTTACTTTGCTTTGTTGAGTACATGCTAGCACTTGCACAAGTTGCAATCAGATATGTCTCTCTGGTACAGATGAAAGAAATGTTTCCTGTGGGCTATAGCGGCTGAGCAAGCAGGGGAGAACCAAGGAGATGAACACGTTTTAACTGGGTCCTGCTGGAATGAAAATATTGATGCTGGCTTTTATCCAGGAGGAAACTGTAGATGTGCATTTTTGAACAGGATGATTAAAGACTACATTCCAAAGTCCCAGTCTGCTTGTTGATAACAGAAATATGTTCTGTTGCTGGGGGCTCTTGGCTGGTGTTGGAGTGGAATAAGATTTTTACAGACACTACTGTGTGATCAGAGTTACCAAGAGGGCAGAGCTGTGTAGCATAAGAGTCAGGTATAGAGGTAAAACAGAGATTGAGAAGAGAAGTGTTTCCATCAGGGTTACTGGGGAAATGCGTCGAAAAGTCAACCACAGTGACAGTGTGTTTACTGGTATGGTGGGCGTTGAAGTCACCGAGCATGAATATGTTTGCAGACAGGTGTAAGGAGATGGCCTTGTCAATATTATCGGAAATACTATCTAGTATGCAACTGTCATTAGAAGAAGTAAGTCTGCTCGGGATAGCTTCAGTATAAACTACAGATTGACTGGGTGTAGAAGAAATACAAATGGCCCTGAGCAGGTAGACATGCTTGGAAATGAACAGCCTTGCTGAAGATAATATATCACACTGATTTGCAGTGTGCCTTAAAGTTGAAACCACTTTTATGATGCTGATAATTAAAGGTGGGGAAAGTATTTAAAGGTGATAACTCCAGATCTTTTAACTTAATTAGCCATTTCTTTTAACCTGTCCGCACTCTTTAGTGGCATTATAAATTCCATAAACATAAAGTGAAGATGAAGGTACCACTTAAATAAATGATTTCATATTGTTACTTGTTGCTTATAATTCATGGCACTAATGGAAAGATATGAATCCACATCTTATCACCCCAGGTGTGGGTTAATTAGTAATTTATCGCTAAACCATTATCCCCGCTCCACCCACTGCTAAATTCTTACAATTTAAAAAAGAATTTTTTGTGACTTTAAATAGCCTGCAAAGGGTTGATATACTGTAGAAAATGAATCAATCTCTGTTGCCAGAATTTTTCTTTAGGGTTCCACCTTGAGTGTCCATGTTTAACAGGCATATAGGAAGACAATGTGCCTAGGGAGCACAACATATTTGTTCTAGGGATGTTTTCAAAGAGCACAAAGCAAAATGGTGTCTTCTCATAGGAATTCAACATTTACAGTGAGGCAATCCTGAGAGAATTAGATTTCCTACCAGGGTTCATTATTGGCAACCACAATCTTAATATAAGATAAGCAGATGGCACAGTATTGATAGCAAAGGAAATTACAGGACTTAGAGAAGGTAATGAAAAAAAGCAAGTAGAAAGGTTTAATCATCAATTGTAAGAAGATTGAATGTATAGTTTGCAGAATATGAAACAGCCCAAAATGTGAACTATGAACTGGAAATACCAAAATCAAGTAAATACAAAAATTTAAATATCTGTGGGAAAATGAAAGAAAATCAATAAATAAAATAATAATAATAATGAATAATAAAAAAAATCATTTTCCCATAATGCTAAGAGTAAAGGAACAAGAAATATTACCCCACTTGGTTTTGTCAAACATCATTATGTGGCGCAGTTAAAGTCTATAAAAAGGCAAAAATTTTCTGCTGCAATCTCTCCTCCTCCTCCCCCCAACCCAAACCTTCTCAAAAATTTAGAATTGTGTGGTAATTACATTCCCACTGAGGAAGTTTCCCCGGTCCGTTGATGACTGAACTTTTCACTTTCCAATTCACAGTGTTTGCATGTGTCTTCCAAAATGCCACTATGAAGTGAAGCAACCTTTTCTTTGGTTGTTCTAGCTCTGCACAAAGCTGACTTGAGCTTGACCATAATATAATGCTTATACTTACTAAAATTTTGAACCAAGAAAAAAAAAAACAGACATCTCATAACCATGTTTAAACCTTCCCATGAATACGATGCTTATACATACCCTACTTAACTCCTGGACCAAGAAAAAGAAAACTGATATACCCAAGAGACATTGAGAACTTTATTTCATTATAGTCCCCATAAAAGAGAATAAATGCTCAATGGAGGAATTCAAGTTTTTGTATGCTTCTTTAATTGTTTATCATGTGAATAGGCACCCACCTATAATACACCAACAGGCAGCAATTTCAATTCCATAGATCTAGGAAGTTTTTCTTAACAGAGGATGGAAAATGCAACACTGAAATCTGAAGGGACATTGAAATAGTGAAAAATGCCTTCCAAAAGGTAAACAAAGTATTACGAAACAGAAAAAAATAGAAACAAAGAAAAGAGAGCTGAACTATTATGTATTATTAGTCCAATAGTGGAGTAATGGATAGCAGCTTGGAATGAGGAATCGGAGAGCTGAGTTCAAATTCTAGTTGAATCCATTACATGCTAATACCCTTGGAAAAGGTATGAATCCTCTTCTTCTCAGTTATGAGTAAATAGCAGGACAGACCGTGTTCTATACCCTTGGATGGCAACTGGTCTACTGCAGAAAGAAATGGCAACCTACTGCGGGAAAAAAATCTG